CCCGGCGTACGCCATCCACCTGCCCCCCCCCCCGCTCCAACCCTACACTACCCTACGCTATAGCCCGTCAGGTTTTTATGCTAAGCTGTCGAGCATGTATGCCCGGGATCCACTCCAAAAGGCACCACTGCCAGACCGATGCACGTACAACCACATTTAGACTCGCGCTGCTGCCGCTGCCGCTGCCGCCCTATTTCGTTGGAGCAGCCTTCCTTACCCACATTCCCCACTTCTTATCTGACCAATTGCATTTTCTCCCCTCCCTGCTATTTCTGCAGTTTTAAAAATAAAAAAGGAGGGGGCTACTGTACTCTGCTAATTCTTGTCCTCCGGACCCCGGACCCTGCCGCCAGCTTTCCGCTTACTTTGCAACCTTCCAGCTTTTCTTGCCCAAGCTGCCGATTTTGACGCGTCCCCTTTAAGGCAACCCAAGCTCCAGCGCTGGCTTCCACTCATAGTTTTTAAAGCATCTTCCCACGTGACCCAGCTTCCGCTTCAACATAAAAGCCGCGTGGGCTGGTGGGAAGCGTAGTTCCGATTGTGAGCCAAATGTAGTACTGTAACCTGCACGGATGAAGGTTCCCCTTCGTGTTTTGATTTTCAGAATATGGGATTAAATCCTGTCCACATGTATAGTTTTTCACTTGTCCTGCTAGTCGATATTAAAACCATAGTTGTATCGCATGATACAAATGGAAGATCTATCATCCCGAATCCATTAGGATGTAAGAGATTTCACTTGGAATATAAACATCACCAGGAATGGATACCATTGTCAAACTGTGAACATATATCCTTAGTTAAAAGTAAATGCTATGGAAAATAGTCGGATTTCTGAGTAAATATCCATTAAAGGAGGCTAGAAGTAGGCTTGCATCCCCTATAAACACATGTGTGTAAGAGAAGGAAATGTATTGAAACAAATGACAGAGTGGGTGGCCATTCAAATCAGGCTTGTTAATAACCCATTCCCTTCCAGCTGCCTGTGTGCACTTTTTATTTTGTTTTCCTAGGATGTTGAGGGAGTGTATGCATGGGGGTAGAGAGCTATATTTTATGTTGGAAGTGTTCCATCCTCCAGCAACTCTCATTTTTAGGCTGGGTTCAGGAGAGGATCTGAGTGCTCTTATCTTATTCTGCCAGCCCATTCAGTTGCCTGCATGGGTTTCCATGTAATTCCTGCATGTAACTCCTAATCTAAAATAAAAAGCTGGTACTTAAACACAGGCTGAATTGAAATAAATTGATTCCTTGTACAACATGTAAAAAAAAAAACTTTAGAATGAACAGAGATATATATTTATGTAGGAGTCACTGGCTATGTACAGTGCATTTAGTGACTATCCATAAAGAAAAAAGCATTGCTTATGATAATGCTCAAAGAAGTAGCTTTGGTTAGTTGGATCCTATTTGGAATAAACAGCATATTATACAATCTGTTTCAAAAATGTCACTGGAATGGTCCTGATTCTACAACCTAGCCTCCAAAGCTCACAATCAAAAGCATCCTGTTATAAAATCACTTTAATTGATCATTCTCTTTTTAGTGTGTTTTTATTTTATTCTAGGCTGCAGTTCTATGATTATTTCCTATTAACTGCGGTAATAATTAATCTTGTAATACACTAATTACAACAATTGAACAACTCAAGGCTATCTTTACCTTTTTAAAAAAGCTTTAAATACATTACAGCATAACCTTTTGCAGACTACAAGCCAACTTTACCAGATGTATGAAGTATTACAATAATTTAAGAGGATACAGATACATTCATGAGACTGGGTAGAATGACAAAAAGAAGAACAAGGAGAGAGCGGAATGGATTGTAAAAAAGTGCAATAGTGATAATGACAACTTTATAGACAGTAGCCATCCATGACTGTTTAAACTCTACTGTTCCGTAACAAAACTGATCTATGTAATTCTTTTCCTCAGAATGGTGACCATAAGGTCTGTGAAAGAGTATCTTGGAGGCAGAAGCGTATGTACATCTCTTTTGTTTGCTGCCATTTCTGATGTCAGATGTGTGCCCATCTATGCTACAAATATAACTCTACATATAACAAAAATGGACAACATCAAAATCAAATTGACTATATATTCTGAAAACAAAGATGGAGAAGTTGTGTTAATCAATTTTTTTTAAAAAAGGCTCAGTGCTAACTGTGGCTCAGGTCACAAACTGCTTCTTGCAAAATTACAATTTAAGCTAAAGAAGAGAAAACCATCAGACCAACTAAGATATGCCCTCAGCAATATTCCATATGGGTGAAGGTAAAGAATTGGTTTAATGGATTAGTTTTGATAAATATAGTGCTGAAGAACTCTGGACTGAAATTTGTTCATTAAAGATGAAACAACCCAAAATATCCCAAAATGTAAAAAGCAGAAGAAGGTAAAGTAGTTATCTGATGGACACGCTGAAAATAGATAAACAAAAGTGGAAAGCAAAAAGAAAAAGAGAGAGGAAAATTTGCCCAAGTATATGTCTAGAGAAGAGGAAGAAGATATAAGAAGTATCTAAATAAGCAATGCAAAGAAAGTGAGAATTACAATCAAATGAGGTCAAGAAAAATTACACAAATCCAAAGGAAACTTGTTGGGCAAAATAAAAAACTAAGAAGGCAGAGATCTACTGAAGAAAGACGATATAAAGGAGAAATGGTGCAAACATATAGAACTATACAAAAAAGATTCCAGAATAGATGATATATGTGCAAGTTTGTTCACTGAACTAGAGCTAGGCTTTCTGAAAAGTGAAGTTAAATGGGTCCTAAAAACATTGCTAACAGCAAAGCTGCAGGAGTTGATGAAATATCAGCAGAACTATTTAAAGTCTTATAAAATGATAGAGTTAAGTGCTGCATGCAGTTTGTAAACAAGTATGGAAAACCCAGCAGTAGCAAAAGACTGGGAAATATTAATTTATATTCTAATACCGAAAAGGGCAGTGCTGAGGAGAACTCAAACTACTGAATAATATACTTATCTCATATACTAATAAAATGATACTCAAGATTTTGCAGTCCAAGTGTCAACAGTACATGAAAAGAGAAATGCCAGGTATACAAGCATGATAACCAAAAAGTGACCGATTGGACTTCAAGACATTCTGGTTGTGAATTTGGAGTTGAAGTGCAACACTTCATGGCAAAAATCTAATTTGTCTGTACTTTGTGCCACAAGCAATACTTTGAAATGTGTAAATAAAACTACTTCCATTCCTCCTGGATCTGTCCTTCACAGTCTCTAAATCCAGCCCATTCTGTCCCACAATTTCCTGCTTTCTTCTAGATCCTGGTCCTGTCCATATTAATCTATTACTTTGGATTATAGATCTATATAATACTTCTTTCATTCCTTTTTTTTACAACTTCTAGAACCTAAAACACTAATTAGTTTCAGTACACATTTATAAAACTTAATGCTTTTCATACATAAACACTCAGCCATTGTGAGAGACTGCAAGCCAGTTACTTGATGAAGTTGTCTCTACTGTATATCCTAGACTTGATAATAAAGTCCTTGAGTTATTGCAGCCATAATTCAGCCATATCCAGATGGCTATCGTTCTTGACCTTTTCCCTGTTAAGAAGAACTCTGATTCTCTTTCATGATTTGTAAATCAGGCTTGGGACTTCCTTGTTCTGGAAGTTGCTGTGCGATATCACTCTGTATCTCCATGCTACAGGGCATACAGATGGTTGTGAGTGTGAAAGAGTAGTGTCTTCAGGATGAGTCACCTCATGATCTGGGGCTACTGCCTTAGTCACAATGTAAGATGAGCAGTTTTTTGTGTTTATATCTTTAAACTGTATTCATACAGGAGAACCCATGTCAAGAATTAGGAGGCCTCAGACTGAGCCCTGTAATGTTCCATTTGCCTCCTTCAATTACCAGCTATCCTTTACCTGCAGTTTCCTCTTACTTTAGGTGTTAATAGATTTATGCAAATTGGTAACAAAATTTGGTTCTGCATCCTATAAGGTCTTGTACTGAACTTGTCTGGCTTTCCTATGATGGGATATTTTGATGAGCCAAGAGATATAAATAGGGGTTGGGCCCTAAAGTTATACACAGTTTTTTCTGTTTTAATTGCTGATTCTACTTTTCCACTGCTTTGTAGATTTGCTTGGAAGGCAAGAAGATGGTCAAATTCCCATGGCTATCAAAATAATCTGAATTTATCACTTGTGCATTATTGGCATTAAAAAAAGTGGCAGATATATCATATCTGGACAAGTATGTCGTTACTTTCCAGATCACTTCTTTCTCATTTATCCTGTAGAGTACTAATTTCCCTGAAGCTGGAATAATCATTCACATGTTAAAGGTACTGTTATTGTTTAAAGGTAGATAGATCTATGCCAATCTCTGCCTGGGGAGAAGTTCATATAATTTTAAGGACTTCTTCTGTTAATGGTTATCACAAGAATGACAGGTTTCACACCTTTCCATGTACACCTTCAACACTGTGCTTATTTCAGGCCAGTAGAAACACCCTTGAGCTTGTCAAAACGTACTGTCAATTTCATGTGTGACACATGATTTTTTTTTTCCATAGCACTCTTGTGGAGTAGCAAGTGTTTGCCCATAGTAGGCAAGATGATATTAAATACTATGTTATTCCTAACAAGTATATTTACAGGCTTTTGGCTTTTATTTGCAGGTCAGCCTTTCAAAATTACTTACTTGGGCACTTGGAGGTGCATACTGCTATGGAAGTAGGCTAGTTTTGTAATTTTGTTGTTTTCACTGGGATGTACTGCACTATGTTGATTGACTTGATCTCCTCGAACTCCT